TAAGAGATCTCTCCTTTCATTGTCACTGACCACAATCCTATCTTTTATATCTGAAATTGTATCTTCATATTCATTCATTCTGCTGCAAATGCTTTCTGTAGAGTTTTTAATCTCCTGGATATCTGTTTGAACTGGTTTCATGGATTCCATTTCTTTCCCATATTGGGCATTAAAAGTTTCTATTGCTTTTCTATGCTGGTCATTCATGGTTTATATCATGATCCAGAGCTCATCTATTTTTTTTTTAATCTGTTTCTGTTCTAGAGCCTCTAATTATGTCTTTCATTCTTCTCATCATCTCTGTGGTTACCTGGGAAATTATTTCTGTTTTGAATTTTTCTAGAGCCTCATTTATCTGCTTTGTTACTTCTTCTATTGGTTCAGGATGTCCAGATGGTTGACTGTCAGACTTTTCCACCTCCTTTCTGCCAGAGTTTACCTTCAGTGAGGTGAAAGTCTGTATTTGTGCCTTGTTTAAATGTCTTCTCATTTCTATTTTTGTTTTTGGTACTGTCCTTGGCTTAATTCCTGGGTTAATACTTTGATCTTCTAGATATAGCTGGTATTTAAGTTTTGAGTCTCCAGTAACTCTGAGGCAATCTCATTTTCATTAAACCAAACGGGACAACTGATTAGATTAATCACAACAGCTTAGTCCAGGTGATACAGTCAGCAATACAATAGCATCAAGCACAGCTTAGAAAAAGACAATTTTTGGTAGTTATTAATCTATCCCCTTTAACTGTGTGAATTAAATCAAAATCATGGACGAGCCCAAAGTGTGTTTATAGTGAATAAACTCTTCAATACAGCAATTTTACCCTTCACGTTGGGGACTTAGAAGGAGTTGGGAATGGAGGAATAGATAGATAGATAAGATAGAGAAAGATTAGAAGTGGGTCAGAGGACACAGGAAGATCGCAAACTCTAGGAAGCTGTTGAAGATAATAGAAGACAGAAAAAATATATGCAAGAACAAAACAAACTAATAGAAACAGGGAGGCTAGAGAATAATCACTTTTTTAAAAAATGAATGGCAGTTGAGAGAAGGAAAAAGAGAAGAAAAGGAAAAGAAAAAATAAATTCAAATTGGGATATGAACAGAAACAAAAAGAGTAATAAAGATCAAGGTGGGAGGGTGAGAGAGAGAAAAAAAGAAGATAAGAAAAAGATTTAAAAATTGAGAAAAGAAAAAGATTTAAAAATTTTAAATTATTAAAGATAAGAAAAAAATATTACTTAAAAAAAAAAGAAATAGAGGGCCTCCTTCAGGGTATGCCTCTGTTCTCATAATAGACAGTGTGAACAGGAGTATGCTGATCTCAGTTTCTTTCTTTTAATTTTTATAAATGCTTGTAAAAAGTCCTATTTTGTTTTCATTCCTGATTAACTTTCATGTCTATATATCAGCTTATGTTTAGGACCATCCTCAAGGTCCTAAAAGGCACTCGTCCTCCAGTACTTAAAGTGAATATGTGTATATATGTGTATGTATGTATAAAGGTAGATTCTCAGACTTGGATTTGCTAGTGTCCTGTTTCACTGTTTTCAGTATTACCTGAATAGTTCCCTCTAGAAGTCTTCTATATCAGTTCAGAAGACCCACTCTTCTTTTTAGAATAGAACAGAGAGCATAAAAAATACAGCAACATAGTGATTTGTGCACTATTCATTATTTTACCATTTCTCTATAGATGGATATTTAGTTTTCTGTTTCCCAAATTTTTAATATTTTAAATGAGTACAGTACAAATTCTCTGGACATTTATCTGTGTATTCTTTAGTAGTTCTTAAAGGTAGAGTTTTGAAGATGACTTTTCTGATTCAAAGGGCATGAACATGCAGTGTTTTGGCAATCATTCTCAACTCTGCAAAATACTTTATTACATGTACACTCTTATCCACTGTGCATGAGAGGACCTATTCCTCTTCTTCACCTCCCCACAAGATATTTACAGCCTTTTTATCTAATCCAATCATGAAACTTGTCTTTCTCATTTTAGTTTTTATATTTTCAATAGTGAAACAGAACATATTGTTTCTGTTTTTAATAAAGCAGCACTCTCCATAAAGCTTAAACAGCTAAAAGTAAAACTGAATACTTTAAAATGCTTCTGGGAACTAAAATTAGTAGACCTGGTTATGGAGGCAGTTGCCTGTAATCCCATCATTCAAGATGGCTGTGGTGGGAATATCACAAGCTTGAGGGGAAAAAATGATAAGAATATCTATAATTACATAGTGATAAACTGAGGAAATAAAAGTTACTGTATTTTTACCATATTGATTAAAAAGTGTCCATGCAAAAACCATTAGAATATATTTGAAAAACAACTGGCATAGAAAGAAGAAATATTTACTTGTATAAATTAGTGAAGAACCCCGTAGAAAAGAGGTGAACAATTCTACAATGAGTATGTTGTTGTGTTTATATGAATCAAATGAAATATACATTCAACGTTTATTGTATACTACAAAATTATGCTTCCTGAAAATGTACCACTATTGAACGAGAGTAGACATCCAGTCACAAACCCAAATTCAGACATTATTAATGTGTTTAGTCTTTGGCTGTCTAACAAATGAAAATCTCCATCTTAAAATGTTTATTTTTGTAAAGACTTAATTTCTTTTAAATGTTTATATGTCATTTGCTTTTCTTCATCTATTGTTCATTTTTTTCATTAATTTCTTATTGTAGTGTCCACTGGTTTTATTATTGATATCTGTATTGACTGTATGAAACTTTTATATTGATACCTTTTCTGTCACTGTCACATATGTTGCAATTTGTCTTTTTTTTTTTAAGCAGGGAATCAAGCACAACCTTGTACTTGCAATACAGGCATGGTGCAGTTACACTGAATTGAATCCCTGGGCCACAATTTATCATTTTTGTTATTTGACTTTTTATTCATGATACCCTTCACAAACATTTTATGTAATCATATACAGTATATTAGTCTTATGTTTTCTATTTTTGGTCATGTTGTTGATGTTTCATATGATAGATAACATACTTAGCTATGTTATACATTCCCCTGCTACTCAGAATCCTTATCTCTAGAAAAGTATAATAAATGGATTTTATTTTATTTTTTAAATGCATTTTAGTTTTTAAGTGCCACAAGCATAACAGTTTTTTCATACTCCCTACAAGTGGTATATGCAATACTTGTTACTTGATTTTCTTATCCTATTTACTTGTCATTTTTATACATCATATTAATATTTCTACATCATTATAATTCATTTGAGCCAGATGTAATGGCTCATGGTGTAATCCCAGCACTGAGGAGGCTGAAGCAGATGAATCACTGCAAGTTCAAGGCCAGCCTGGGCTACATTGTGAGTTCAAGGCCAGTCCATTATATATTGCAAGACTTAATCTAGTTCATTTCTGTTCATTGTTCTCTATTACATAATGTTTTGCTTTTAAGTTTTTTTCAAAGTGAAAAATTATAAAAACATTTTGATGATACTTAGATAGGTTAGGTCCTAGAAATACTCAGGTCTTGATTACATAGCTCCCACACTGAGTATGGCATATACCAGCAATGGATTGCTATAATCCTTTCTCCAGACCTGACCATTGTTTTTCAAAAAGAAACTAGTGTAGCAGTTCTACTATGCATATTTTCACTGCTTTAAATTCAGTGGTCATATAAAAAATGAAGACTTCACTAGCTTAGTGTTTGATCTTTACCACATAGATCTAACGTCACGAACAATTGCTTTTAGTATTTTCTTTGAAATCATATAAAGGTTCATATGTGCCAAATTTCATAAGGATCACATGATAAGGTCAAGAAATACAAATTCCAAGGCAGAATTTATATGCCTAGTTCACATATGACAGTAATACTATATAACCATATGTTGAATATAATACACTGTATGTAAATGCTATTCTTGAAAGCAATCCAATCAATAAAACCTAAAATAAATAACCTTCTAAGAATACGTTTCAAGTAAACTGAAAATGGAATAGATGGGCAAGAACATCCCTATAAAATTGACATTCAGAGGCCATTAAAATACTGAGAGTGAAACAATCATGAAACAACAAAAAAGAAAATGAATATTAGAAGATTTTTAAAAGCTTACTATACTGTATATCAAGATATAGCACTTTTATTTAAAGAGCTATTTTAATAAAGAAGTGTATTTCCAAACATTAAAAAGCAAGTTAAGTTTACTTTTGCCAACAACCAAAATGTGCTTTTGTAAAAACACAATATTAACCAGAAAAAGTAAAAACTATGTAACATTAAACAGAAGTGTCAAAATAGAAAAAAAAAATCATGTTTCAGTCAAGATTGGAACTCGATTGGCTTAGTTTTATCATTAAAAAGGTTATGGGAAAGCTACTGAAGGTAACTTCAAAAGCCTAGTAGTAAAAAGTGATTGTAAGTTGGTAAAACTCTGAAACAGATCAAATAACCCTTAAGTAGTCCTAATGCACTGCATCTTTGAACACATATGCATCGTTTTCAAGCTGACAGGATTGCTGGTTTTTCTTTGTTTCCAACATCCTATTTTTTTTTAATCCAACTATTAAACTGTTAATAGTCAGTAGCTCAGAGTGAAGAAACTACCTTTATTCAAAGATGATATGAATTAAAATTTAAAAAGTCTTTTCTCTTTGGACTAGTACTGGAAAACATGGTTTTGTGAAATCTTTCCCTGGTTTTGTGATAGTTTTATCTTTTTCCATATGAGAACTTGAATACTATATGTGCACAAATAGATGAAACAATGAAGGCTATAGGAAGTTATATAACTTTTTTTGTTTATCAACTCAAATTCAAACACTAAACTTTATAAGGACTTACAGATAAATGATTCTGATACTTGCCAAAAAAAGGGGGAAAAATAATTGAGATGTGTTACATACGTGTACCAGTTCTTCACAGTAAATGTGATTATTTATTGCAAAATGTCATACACTAAAATGAGATGTAGTAATGTAACTGATATTTTTAATTTTATCACTTCAGATCTTGGGAAGACACTTCCTGAAGGCCTTGATTACAGCACTGTGTGGCTCCAGACAGTGCCTGGAGAAACGGACAGAAAGAGTGGTATCCCACCTTCCCTTGTCACATTACAACTTAAAGACTTTCTTAATGGACCAGGTGATTATAGTAATATATATATATAAAATAA